GCAGCCCTCACTCTGCTTTATTGCTCTTCTTAGCATTTTATCATGACCCGAGGTATATTTATTTTTTATCTGTCTCCCCGCAACTGAACGCAAGCTCCATGATGGAAGGGACCTTGTCTGTTTGTTCACTGCCCTAAAAGCATTATCTAACAGTGCCTGTCACATAGTAAGTTCTTAAATATTTGATGAATGAATGAATTAAAGGATGAAAAATAAAGCAGGACTTCTAAGTTTAAAACTGCAACCACCTTTAAGAAGAACACAAACACACATACTTCTGGTTATGTGTGCATGGGCGCAGGGTGCCAGATGTTGTTCACAGCTCTAATGATGGAGTCATGGATGAAAAAGATGAGTTTCTTGCCCATACAGAACATAGTGAGGAAGCTAAATGGAACAAGTAATTAAACAAAGTGGAATAAATGTTATAACAGGAAAAGCCCCGGGCTTATGGGCCCATATAGCAGGGAGACTCCATCTAGGCTTGGGGTGAGGGTCAAGGTGACATCAGTACACACTAGTAACTGAAGAAAGAATGGGAGCCAGCCAAACGAAGGGTGAAGATGTGTTTCTAGCAGAGGGAACAGTGTGCTCAAAGGCCCAGAGAGTAAGAGTTCATAACTCTCTACTAATAAAGAGATTCTCAAGTGGAAAGTTAAAACCTGGTATCACACAAAAAGTAGCATAATAAATGTGGCCCACTGGTGAGCATCCAGTTTTGAAGTCTGATGGTATATGGATGCAACCCAGTAAGATCACTTGCTTCTGTGTTTCCAGCAATACAGATGGTCCGAAGCAATTATAAGCATGGTTAATAAATAATCGATCATAGGAAAAACGGAGTTAGGGGGGCCGTAGTAGCACTAAAACTTTTGGTCCTTCGTCTCAAGTGGGGAAGTTTCAGTGAAGGTAGAAGCTGGTAGGCATGAGGCAAACTGAAGCTGGTGCTATGAGGGCGCAATGACCCCTCAATGGGAGGGGTCGTTACTGCTATCACTGTTGTGCTCTTCGCCAAGACATTGACTGAGTACCAGGTGTGCCAGGAGTCACAAGAGAAGCTTGACGTGTTCGTTCCATGTAATTCTCACAAAACTCTTACCATGGAATCATTATCTCTAGTACGGATATTAAGGCTCTAGTACGGATACAGAAAAGTCTAGGGACTTGCCCCAGGTCACACAGCTAGCTAGCTGAATTTTGTTCTGTTTGGCTCTCAAATCCATATTTTTTCTATTAGAGTTGGTCTAATACAATGTGACAGATCCAGGGCTAGAATTGAGTTCTTCTTCACTATCAGATTTGCTCACACTATGCCTCTCAGATCATTTTCCAGTATCTACTGAGCACAGTATAGAATGTTGGCTGGCATTTACCTAGTGGGAGACAGAAATCTTAATTTTTGAAGAGTTTGAGTCACCAGTGATTTCTTTTACTGGGTCACTGTAATATTCCATTCACTTTTAGAATTGAACATAGAAGTATTAAGAGGCACTCTGGAAAATCCTGTAGGTCCCAGATATAGTCTTCTTTGCCCCATTATATAGCAGCAAATTAATTCCTCTTCCCAATCAGGATCAATCCCTTTCTGGCTGTTGGTATAAGGAGCCCAAAATGGCCAGATGGAAGTCATAACTTCCAATTCATTGGGGACATTATTGTGCCCCCTGGTGAAAGCATCTCTCCTGTGGGAACTAAGACCCTAAAACTCTGTGAGTAGGTTAAGAGGGCATGCTCTCACTTCCAGTCTTGATTCTCAGACCTGTGTGTTCAGCTACACAAGAAAAATGTTTGTTGTGGACTCAGAGCATATACTGCATCCTTTAGGATACCAACAGTCACTATAACTGGTCTTCAGTAGGACGTTCCACCTTTCTATGAGGTCAGCTGTTCTTTGGGGTGACAAAGGGAATTCCCATTGCCACACCTGTTTTGCCATGAAGTGAGTTATTTGATCACAAGGAATGTTGTGGCGGTCCCATGGTAATGATGAAGGCATTCTGTAAGCCCGTAGGTGGTGGTGGTGTTGGCAGAAACACTGCAGGCAGGGTAGGCAAATTCATACCCAGACTATGAGTCTATTCCATTGAGGACAAATTGCTCTATGACGGAAGGGTCCAATGTAATCAACCTGCTGTCAGGTGGCTGCCTTATTTCCCCAAGGAGTGATGCCATGTTGAGAAATCAAAGTAGGTCTCAGCTGAGGACAGGTTAGGAATACAGTGGCAGTAGCCATTTCAGCCTCGGTGAGGGGACGTCCATAATATTTAGCCCATGCACACCTTCTTTCCTCTCAGGTATAGCAACTTTACGCACAGGCTATTGAGCAAATACCGGGGTGGCTGAGGAGAGAGGCTGACATTCACAGATGGGTCACTTTGCCCAGCTGATTGAGGGGGACAGTCTTTGCTGCAGAAGCCCTTTGGTGCACATTCATACGGAATACAACTATCTCCACACTCCGCATCCATTTCAGGAAATCTATCCAAATACCTGTCCTCCAAACCTCTTTGTCACCAGTTTCCAACCCTGTTCCTTCCAAGTCCCTGACCACTGAAGTAGCCATTAGCCACTGCCTACAAAGCTGTGTAGATCTGCATCTCTTGGCCATCTCACAGTCTAGCAAATGTATGGCTTCAATTTCTGCCCACAAAGAGGATTTCCCTTCACCACCAGACTAATACTATAGCAGTCCAGTTGGTGCCAGCATTTGTCTTAAAACCAGGTTCTGGTTTTTTCTTCTTTGGTTAACTGATCATAGGGAAGTACCTCATGAGGCCACAGATGTGAATTGAGGGAAAGGTGGCAATGCAGTGGGGCAGCAGCCACAAGAGTCTGAGCTGTTGGCTCATGCAGCTTGCCACAGTACAGCTGAGCCTGATATCGCATATGCTATTTTCATTGAATGATGGACTGCTGCTGGGCACGCTGTCTTACTGCCCGGTTCACACTAGTCAGCTCAGAACACAAGGGCACTTGATATCTTGTAGTAGACAGTTTGGTAGCAATCTAGGAGCTGTTCCCAAAAAGCGAAAAGTTTTTTCCAGAACAGGATATGGCTGTGCTCCAAAACCCTAGAGAGGCCTGGACTTCTCCATTGAGCCAGCATACAGCATTCGTATTTGCATAGACACTCCACGTGGAGTCCTGCTGGGTCAATAAAGCCCAAGTGGCAGAGCGGTTTGCACTGCAGCCTGGTGACACGGGGCCTGCTCTCGCTCCGACTGCATCGCAGATTGGCAGCCTCACAGGCTACAGAGCAGCACACCGAAATGTGGTGTATGTAGCTTCCAAGGTCCAAGAAAGCCACCAAGTGTTGTGCAGTGTTGTGGAAGGTGACACAAGGAGTAGCAGCTTGTCTTACATTTTGGAGGGGATCTTGCAACATGCTCCAGACCCCTGAACCTCCAGAAACCTCAGAGGTGGTACACACCTGAATTTTCATGGGGTTTATATCCACCTTCTGGCGCAATTCCCATTCTATCTCCTAGATTTTCCTTCAGTTTCTATCTAGCATGGTATAGTATGTTTCTTCTTTCATCCAAAAGAGACTGCTCATTTTTGTTTCCAGGTCTTCAACTCATTTGATCTCTAACTTAGAATCATTTAAAATTGATTCAACATTTACTGAGTGCCTATCATGTGCCAAGCATGGGGGGCAGTAAGACAACATAGTTCTCTTGGTTTGAGGAAGAACATCGTTCCTGTGTTTAAGGGAGAATGCCGATGATAACACAGTCCGACAGGCTGTGAGAGAGCTGAGTGGAAGGTGTTACGGAATCACGCAGGACGCATATCAAACAAACCCAGATGGGGGAGGGGCCAGGATCCTTAGGCTGAGCTCTGAAGGATGAGTGGGGCTGAGTGAGTGAAGCCAAGAAGGGGTGGAAAGGGTTTTCCACGTAAGGGGAGCAGCCTGGGCCTAGCAGATTAATCTCTGATCTATAGCCAGTTGGTCAGAAGCACAGGTGACAGATTGGCGTCTGGAGTGGGATGTGGGGAGCTGTCCTGTGGGACTGAGCCCTTCACCCGTGGAATCGGACGCTCTCTCTGGGTACACAGCATCAGAAGTGAGTCGAAATGGCAGGGAGGTGGAGGATGCCTAATTTTCTGGTTGCTACAGATTCTGTCTCTGAATTCAGAGACAAAAGATGAGGGAATCATAAAATATCTACCTACCATTTTTATTTTTTGGGAGGTCTCTGTTTCATGTGCCAAAGCTTAAGCGTCATTTTTCTTAAACTGTCTTCTTTCAGTTATTAGTGATTCCACCTAGATAATGTCTGCCGTGTTTCTAGCTGTTAGTTTTAATCTTTTTTGGCCTTTAAAAGGATTTCTAGTGTCTTCAAAAGTTACTTTGAATAGGAAGAGTCACGGTTTTCTTAACACAGCACTTTGCTAATATGTGTATTTCATAGCCTCATGAGTTGACTACAACAGATTCATATCCACAAATAGCTTTCAAATAGTTTTTAGCACACCTACATACATTAATGAATAAATACAGAATTTTTTCCATCAATGCACTTGATTTGTGCTATAGGTGTGTTCCTTAAAAGTAGTACGTAAACACCATTTTTGTAAATCAGATTGTATGTTCCTATTAAACTATGGTTCTAACAGGGGATTAGGAGGTTTTTCACATCACCTGGGACACTGTTTGGTCAACTCCCTACCCAGGTGGTGAATATCAGCTCTGAGGAGGAATAGATGTGTATCAAGAAGCTCTCCCAGGAAATCCTCACCTGTCCCCACCAAGAACACTAAGAACGGCTGACTTAACTGACAACTTCAGTTAATTGAGGGGCTCACAGAACTCCTGGTGAGCACGCCCCTTCTCTCGTCACTCCCTGCCCCAAAGAACAAAGGACCAGAGTCTTGTCCCAGGAAGCAGTGAGAACCGACTATCTGTCTCCCGTCAGGATTAATCTCCTCGTGCCTGTATGCCAGCTGACGTGTCTCCCTACACTAACGGAAACCTCGCTCTCTTCTGAAGACATTACCTCGCTTGCAAACGTCCAGGGGGCTGTTTTTGATCCCAACCCCCAGGGGGGCATTTGGAGACATCCAGCCTATCTTCTCCTTGCTGACCCCCCCTGAGTTCATGCCATAAGACCACAGATTATCCCCTGCCACCCCTTATTAACAGTCCCCATCTCTCCACTACTACTACTGTGATTTTGCTTGGCAATTTTAAGAGTCAAATAAATGATCCATCTAAAACACTGGATTCTAAGTTCTGACCTCCTCACGCCCGGTCCTCTTTTACACCACTCCACCACCCACTCCCACAGCCACACCCTAGATCATACCCAAGAGCTCAGCTTCCCCCAATCTCAATCTCAGGCATCCCAGATCCTGACTACCCATCCTACTTTCCAGCTCATTCCCTCGGGTGTCCACACTTGAATAGTGCTTTGACCTCAACGGGACCTCCAAACTACTACACCCACCATCTTTTCTCTAGCCATCACCCATTCTGCGCCCTTTTTGCTTAAATGACAGTCACTCCCTGTATACATCCCCCTGGCTCCTCTGTTCCTTGTGCCAACCCTGCCCAAACCCAACTCTCACCCAGCACTGAATGTGGTGAAGACGCAGCTACGCTCACTGGCTTCACTTTCAAGTTCATGACTCATGTCCAAGATGGGCCCTCCATCTACCACAACATGCCACTAGTCAGTTCCATCTCTCTCTCTCCTGGGAGACCATTCCACAGAACCCCTCACACTCTTCTCCCTTTCACGGCTGATAACTGCGCTGCTTCTTTCACAGAGAACAAGAGCAGTCAGAGGGAACGCCACACTCACCTCACAGACTTCCCTACTTGGAAGCCTCTTCTCCAGGAACCTACACAGCTAGAGGTCTCTGCTCAACTGGCACCTTTTCAGAAGGGCCCTCCCTGGTTACTGTCAAAACAGCATTCTTGATGCCCTCATCCAGCTTTACCTTCCTTCATCGCATTCCTCACACCTCACCTACTAACTCCATCGTCAGTCCCCAGTCCTCCACACCTTCGCTCTGGGGTCAGCTCTGCGAAAGCGGGACTGGATCTGTTTTAGACCTAGAACAGTATCTGGCAAGTATTAAGTGCTTATAAATATTTATTGAATAAATAACAAAATATCCAAAGACAAAAGATTTTTGCCTTTCTTGGGCCGGCCCCGTGGCTTAGCGGTTGAGCGCTCGCACTCCACTACTGGCGGCCCGGGTTCAGATCCCGGGTGCACACCGACACACCGCTTCTCCGGCCATGCTGAAGCCGCGTCCCACATGCAGCAACTGGAAGGATGTGCAGCTATGACATACAACTATCTACTGGGGCTTTGGGGAAAAAAAAGGAGGAAGATTGGCAATAGATGTTAGCTCAGAGCCGGTCTTCCTCAGCAAAAAGAGGAGGATTAGCATGGATGTTAGCTCAGGGCTGATCTTCCT